GGAGGGGTGTGTTTCTCTTTGTACTACTCTCCATGGCTCTTTTGGCTCTTTGAGTCTAACTGGCCGGCCACCCCGATCTAGGTGCTTTCAACCTGGTCTTTAGTGAATAGTTATGTACTCAAGTGGTAACATATGAAAAAGCACTAAAGTGCTGCCCAAGTGAATCAAAATAAATTCACACAGGACATCTCTCTCGTTGTCAGATCAAAGGAAACTGAAGTAAATGTTGACACCCATCCAGAAAGTCAGTCAGCCTTTAAATCAAATCATCCTAAAATGATAGAAAAACAAAAATGGAGACTCAACTTTATCATTACAAAATCACAATAAAAACCAGAAGAGCTTATATTAGAAACATATGTTCAATGATTATTCACTATTAAAATCTAAGGTAAATAGCACTCAGTCCTCCATCTGCACCATGTTTACAAACATAAATGATGAAGGGCAAAGACGAAGAAGAGCATCCTTTGAAGCAGAACAGAAGGCCCAAGTCTGTCGATTGCCATGAGGCTGTAGGCAGCCCTAGCCCCAGACGGTGGATTGTTTTTAACACTACAATGAACAAGGCCAGGCCAGGGGGGATCTGTACGACATTTACCCAACCTGGTCCCTTTGCAGCTCAGTGCAGAACTGCAGCCAGAGCGGAACTGCCCTGCCAGGCTGGTCCCTCTGCCTCGTCTCTCTCCCTTCCCCGGGCCAGGATGCCACTGGGACTCTCCCTTGAAGGAGTCCCGGGGGTGGGCAGTCGCTGCCTGGCTGGGACTCCCCTGGGGACGCCCCATTCCGGTCTGGCCTGGCCTGTGGCAGAGCAGAGCCCGAGGAGCGGCAGAAAGTCGACCCCAGCATGAGGGAAAAAGGCTGCGCAGCCGCTCAGGTGTCTGCAGCCGGCTCCTGCTCTCACCTAGCAACAGGGCCTGGCCCATCCACACTCAGTCTGGGACACCTGGCACTGCACTGCGGCCCCGCCCAGCGCTGGCCACCTCTGGAGCAGCCGCGAGCCACCCACGCTTGCTCCGGCTCTGGCCCAGCCCCCTTCACTGCCGGAGCAGCCACGGGCCACCTGTCACATGTGCTCCGGCTCTGGCCCCAGCCGCTGAAGCTAGGGCCAGGCCCAGCCAAGGGTTCGCAGGGCCCAAGGCAGGATGCTGGGAGCGGAGCCCTGGGCCTGGCCGGCGGATGCTCAGCAGCACTGGGCCCCAGGCATTTGCCTTGCGTCCCCAGCTCTAGGGCCGGGCCTGGGCTACATGGTGACTGCCCTGCTGCTGGAGCAGCTGAGCCAGAGAACGCAGTTCTGCTGCACAGGTGGGCGAGCCTCAAATTCTTGGTGTGTGTGCCCCCCCCCCCACCCCTTGGGGGGAACTCTGACCCCTACGCAATGGGATCCTTCACTTCTCCCAGCCTCTGACAGGAAAGGGGGGAGTTTCACTGCAGTGGGGAGGTGAGGGGCCCCCTTCAGGAAGATACCAGGGGTGCTGCATGACTCCCCCTCCCCCTACCAGCCCAGCCTGCAGTGCACTTGCAACAGCATCTCCTCCACTGTGCAAGTTTCCTCCCAGCAGCGCCCCAGCAAGAGCATTCAGGACTCCAGCTGTGGGAGCTTCCCCTCCCACCTTCAGAGCATCCCTTATCCAGCCTTCCTAATGAAGCAGCGGGTGCTGGCTGTGGTAATGCTCCTGGGTGGGCAGGGCTCAATCCCACAACCCTGGGGTCCCCAGGCCAATGCCCTAACCTCTAGGCCGCTCCAGAACCCACCCTACCATCAGGGCGTCCCTTATCTGTCCTTCCTAATGGGGCAGCTAGGGGGGTGACACTCCTGCATGGACAGGGCTCAAACCCACAACCCTGGGGTCCTCAGGCCCTGAAGGTCCCCTCCCCTGCCCCCCAAGTGCTACTGGGGCTGTTTTCCCTCTTGAGGTCATGGGAAGTGCATCTCAGAACAGAGGTCAAAGGCCAAGGAGACGGGGCTGGGTCAGAGCCATCTCCAAGCTGCGCAGAACTCTCCTGGCAGCGTCCTCTCCATGGGGCCGGCCTGCAGGTGGGAGCCAGTGGTTCCCCCACGCGGAGACTCATCTGACCTGGGCAAGCGGCGCTTGCCTGGGGAAGAAGGAAGCAACTGACAGTCCCTCCCTGCAGCTTCGTAGAGGAGCCAGGCAGGCTGTTCCTGGTGACTAATGGCATCCTCGCCCAGACGCCCAGTACAGCTGGAAAACACCCCTAGGCTTGCGGGGAGGGAGCTCTGCCAAGAGCTCAGAGAGCTGGGCTGTGGAGTCCCAGGGGCTCCCCACCTCCTGCAAGACACCCAGCAGCGGCCAGCGCAAAAGGGCAGCTGTGGTTTGGAACAGGGGAGAACAGCCTCGGACTCCTGGCAGCCGAGAGCCCTCGAACAAGACTTACAGCAGCATTTTCAAGAGGGGCCTGGCCACTCCAGGACCCCTGGAGCTGGGTTTCAGAGGGCCTGGGTTCCTGCAGCACTCTGAGTACTAGGCCGTAGCTGTCGCAGGGTGGTCTCCAGGAGCGGAGGCAGCTTACGTACATAGGCACTTCCGCCGCAAGGGGCCTTCCCCTCTCAGGCTCTAGTGCACCAGTCTAGACACACGTACCAGAGGAGCACAGAGCGACATGGCAGCCTTGTACACCCCTTTTACCTTACTGGCAAGAAGCCCTCAGCACTGGGCAGCAGTGAATGGGGCTATCAGTGCCTCAGTTTCCCTAGGTGGCCAACAGGATAGAACGCTGCGCTACAGCATGTCCCCCCCGCCCAAAGAATCAGCCCCTGCAGAAAGCTAATGGGTCATGCTCTCAGTGTGTCACTATGTGCCACAACCTGCCCCCACCACCTATGGCTGTTTGACTTCACCAGGTGCAAGGCCAGGCTGTCCCCAAATGCTGATCACAGTCTCTTACCGCAGGAGTTCAGCCAGGCCAGCTGCTCAGGAGCATGGCCAGAGCCCCTGTGGCTTTTACTGGCTCATGCCAAGATGACCCAGGGGGGCCAGCCCTAGTCCACAACCCACAGGCACAGTCCAGCCCTACAGCGCTTGCCCTGGGCTATGCTCAGAAGCCATGCTAAGGGACCCCCACTGCTCCCCACCTGCCCCCGGGCTAAGGGATGCTTTTCATTTCACACCACCAGCAAGGCATGGTTTGAGAACTCGTTTATTGGTCAGAATTGGGCAATAAAACCAGATCGGAGCCGGTTCTCCCCCGCCCCAGGGGGCAGCCAGCCCCCAGCCAGTTCAGGTCAGCACATACAGCAGGAGCACTGACACCCAAACGGGCACCGGAGAGGCGGGGGAGAGGTCTCGGGGGCAGCGTTTTGCAGGGACTGTCCCAGACCTGCCAGCTATCGAGGCTTTGCTGCACTCAGCACCTGGCGCCAAGCTGCCTGTTAGGCACGTGAGTCAAAGGCCTTTGATAATCAACGGAGGGGGACTCCTGAGTGCCTAAATCCCTTCTGAAAGTGCGATTAGGCTCCTAAGTCAATTGGGCGTTGCCCCTGAGTGCAGCAAGGCCGCCCTAGCATTGACAAGGGGGCTCAGTTCGTAACAGGAATTTGTCAGCTGGGCCGGTTACTCTGTGAGCTCAGTGCATTGAGAAAACCAAAATCCCCCCTCCCCCACTGTCCATTCATTCCCCTGCTTTACAATATTTACAGTAATAAAACCCCTAAAGAGCCCCCCAACCCCCCGCCCATGTCAAATTTCCCCTCTACCCAGGGATTGCCTCCTGGCCCAGCTGCAGGATGCCTGAGAGAGATTCCCTGGCACGCCCAGCGTTCAGTCATCATCTCAGAAAGCTGCCAGTCATGAACAACTCCGCCCCAGTCCGTCACACCAGCCTTTCCTCCAAGGATGCTTGTGAAATCCCAGCTGTCCCACCACTGCTGGCTTGGGGCCCCCTAGCGGGCACTCCAGACACAGCCCTGGCTTTTCACCTTCCTCTGGCAGCATCGGCCTCCAAGCTCAGCTGACCCCATCCACATGCTGTTGGGTGAAGGCTGATCATCGTCCCGTAGCCCGGAGGTTAATTATTGCGTTATATCGCGGGTTTGCATTGATGCTGGAGGAGTGGGGGTGCTAAGCTAACAGAGCCAGTGGGTGGGTCTAGTTCTTGTGTTCCCAGGATAGCAACTCCCTGCATTGGGTAGAGCCTCCTACCCCCACAATGCCTGAATGGAAGCTTAAAACCAAAGGGAGGCAGAAATCCCCTTTACAATGTCCACAAAGATCTGGCCAAGGCCAAGACCCTCTGCCAGAGGACCCCTCGGGCCGCTAACACGGTGCAAGAGACCGACTGTGCAGGGGGCAGCTGCATCTCCCCCGCAGCCGGGTCCCTCAATAAAAAAAGTCCCAGGTCCATTACAAGGAGCGCGACAGCTGGTCCCCAAGCAGGTGAATTGGTTCTGGAGATGAGCAGCCCCCGGCCACCCCTGGAAGCTCACAAAGCCACCCGGAGAGCCTTGCGTCGGCTCCCAGGAGGAACGCGGTCAGATGTCCAAGGTGGAGACCTGGGTGATACGGGGGTCAGAGTCGATCTCGTAGCGATAGCGATACTCCTCCATGAAGTTGCGGCAGGCTGCCCTTGCGGTTCAGGTAGAGCACGAAGAGGAAGACCACGCCGATGACGCCCAGGACGACGCCCAGGAAGACGTACGAGGTCTGCAGAGCGTTCTTGCTGTGCTGGCTGGAGTGGCAGCCCAGCTCGACCCCAGCCAGGTCCAGCAGGGACGTGTTCTGGAGATCCTGGGGGAAGACACAGGCCAGCTTCTCCACGTCGGCCACCTGCTGGCTCTGATTCAGCCAGCTCACCAGGTCCTCGATGTCGCAGTTGCACAGGAAAGGGTTGTCCCTCAGGAAGAGGCGGAGGTGCAGCTGCCTCCCCAGCTCGGCCAGCGCCTCCACCCGCAGGGTCTTGAGGGCATTCAAGGTCAAATCCAGGTGCTCAAGGTCAAGGCCAGCAAAGGTGGCGTTCTTGATGTCCACCAGGGAGTTGTTCCTCAAGTCCAGGTGCTGGAGGCTGGAGAGGCTGGAGAACATGCCCCATTGTCCCTCAGGAAGAGGCGGAGGTGCAGCTGCCTCCCCAGCTCGGCCAGCGCCTCCACCCGCAGGGTCTTGAGGGCATTCAAGGTCAAATCCAGGTGCTCAAGGTCAAGGCCAGCAAAGGTGGCGTTCTTGATGTCCACCAGGGAGTTGTTCCTCAAGTCCAGGTGCTGGAGGCTGGAGAGGCTGGAGAACATGCCCCACGGCATGGGCAAGATGGCAGAGGAGTTGTAGAGGGAGCGACTCAGGTTCAGCTCCCGGATGGAGTTGTTCCTGGAGCTGAAAGCATCGGGGTGGATGGTAACCAGGCAGTTATTGCTCAAGTCCAGGTAACGCAGGCTGGGAAGGGCAGAGAAGGCTTGCGACGCCACACTGCTGATCCTGGGGCGGGAGAGAGAAACGATCAGGGCGAGGATCCTAGGAGACCTAACAAAGTAGGACTCCAATTCGGCCCCTTGGCGATAGCCCACCACATGGGACTGGGGCCTTTCCTAGGTCCCCCTTCCCACCCAGCTCCAGAGCTGCTCCCACACAATGACCCATCAATGCCTGCATGCAATGAGTTTGCTAAGTCTCAGTCTGCTTCCCAGGCAGCAGGGGTGAACGGGCCCTGGAGAATGAACCCCCTTGGAGGGATGTGAATGGGTAACTGGTAAGCATCACCCTTACTGGATAATGCTTATTGGATGCTAGTTAATGGGTACCCGGGAGCAGCCGCCCCCTGCCCTGCCCGTAGCCTGGGGAAGGGGAGGAGGAAGCTGGCCGACCTGTACATGGGGGGCTGGGAGCAGGAGCTGGCTGTCCTGTGCATGGCCCTGTTGGCTCCTGCTGCTGGGAGCCCTGTGTGCAGCATCCCCAAGCGCAGGGGAGGGCCAGCAACAGCAGCACCATGTATGGGGTGGGATCCTGTTTAATTGGTTAAGCAGATAAACCTAAGGTTTAACCGGGTAACTGATTAACTAGGATTTCACATCCTGAGTCCCTTTGCACCTCTAGGGGTGCTCCCCCAGGCATCAAGCTGGATAGACAATCAGAGCCGGCTTTAGGTAGCGTGGTGCCCAATTCGAAGAGCTTCGATGGGGCCCTGGCAGCTATGATTTTTTTGTTGGGGGAAAAAAAAAAAAACCACCGCGCACAAAAAAAGAGTCGCAGCCCCTTTAAATCCAGGGAAGCCGCCGCACTCCTCCTCCGGGGCCGACGCCCCCTCCCGCAGTGTGCCCGGCCGGCCACAGAGCCGTGGGAGGGGAGCAGCCAGCGCGGGGCCCTCTTAGGTGCGGGGCCCGATTCGGGGGAATCGGTCGAATCGGCCTAAAGCCGGCCCTGTAGACAATGGCGATGCAACATAAGAGCAGCCAGACTGGGTCAGACCAAAAGTCCATCTAGCCCAGCGGCCTGTCTGCCGATGGTGGCCAGCGCCAGGCTCCCCAGAGGGTGTGAGCAGAACAGAGAAGCGTCAAGTGATCCATCCCCCTGCTGCCCATTCCCAGCTTCTAACATGCAGAGGGGAGGGACAGCTCAAGCCACTAAACCCAGAGTTGTGAGCTCAATCCATGAGGGGGCCATTTAGGGATCTGGGGCAAACCTTTCAGGGATGGTACTTGGTCCTGCCGTGAGGGCAGGGGACTGGACTCCATGACCTCTCAAGGTCCCTTCTGGCTCTATGAGATAGGTGTATCTCTATATTGTGTGTCCCTGCCCATCCATGAATGTATCTAGTTCTTTTTTTAAAGTCCTGGCCTTCACAACATCCTCTGGCAAGGAGTTCCACAGATTAATTGTGCTTTGTGTGAAGAAATACTTCCTTTTGTCTGAAAGAGGGTTGTGTTGCCAAGGCCCGTGTTGTTGCTGTGCTGTGGGCAAATGGAGGATTTCAGCCTATAGGGAAACCTGTATATACAATGACACATGGGTTCTCCCTCTGGAGATATTTCATGCATCCGGTCACGGGTGCCCTACCCTCAGATTCTTCAGGAAAAAGTTTTCTACTCCTACCTCTGCCTCACTGTCTGGTCTTGGACAAGTCACATCCTTCCTCTATGAGCTTAGGCCCCTTCGCAAAGGACTTTGAGAGAGCGGGGATGAACACTACCACAAGACCTTAAGTGTTTCTTCGGAACCTGTCAGTGTCCCTTTAAGGGCAGCAGAATTTTAATCACACTCACAGAACCAAATTCCGCTGTCACATGCACACATGCTAGTCTCCAAAATGCAAATGTCTGTGGGTGGAATCAGGTCCCTGAGGATCTGCAGGAGTCAGCCACCCTCCCAGAAGGTGATGAACTCCAGATCCTCCTCAGCATTCATGCCTCCCACATGGGAGCAACAAAAGGCCCCGGCGTGGCCAAAAGGCCCTTTTATGCACTGTTTATTCCCATCCCCGCTACCAGGGATAGTGGGGGCAGGGGGATGCCACTTAGTGTTAGTCAGTTGCTGGAGCGGGAATCATTCCTGCCCTGAACGGGGCTAACATAGGGCTCAATCCTGCAAACTGCTGACCAACTGCGGTTCCCATTGACTTGGCGGAGCGTTGAGGGCACTCGGTACTTGACTCGCACCGGGCCTAGTTCTCCCCATAAAGGAGCTGGCTGGAGGCCTGAAACATTCCTGTGATGTCTGGGAACTGACTGATCCCAGAGGGATCTTTAATGTGGATTTGGGACGGTCCTGATTCTGGTTCCATACAATAAACAAAGGGCTGCCACTCTTCTTAATCAGCGGGTATAAATCAAGAGCCTGGGTGCTCCGGTGGACTAGAAAGCCAGGCCTGGTTTCTGGGTGCTTGAGGCACAAGTAACAGAGCCTGCTCCTCGTGGTTCATGGGATTACTGAAGGGGAACAAGAGAGGTTTGCCCCAGCCCCGAGACATAAGCCAGAAGGAGCGGCTTTCGCAGAGGAGCTCAGGCCAGGTTCAGCGCTGACACCAACTTTGCAACACCCGAAGTTTCAGGCTCCTGCCGGGCCAGGTACAGGCAAATTTCTACTAAATACCGGCCAAAGGCAGAGGGGAGGCTGCAACAGGCTGGAAATTACTTTTCAGAAACCTAGGGGTACGTGTGCAGCACTTTGAGATATGCTGGTCCCTTAAATCTGTGTTTGAACAGCCCTTGGCACTCACCTGCGCCCCTTGCCCTCCCCAACACCTGCCATCACACACCCCAACACGCCGCCCTCAGCCCCAACCCCGACCCCTGCCGTCACACACCCCAACATGCCGCCCTCAGCCCCAACCCCGACACCTGCCGTCACACACCCCACCACGCCGCCCTCCGCCCCAACCCCGATACCAGCCATCACACACCCCAACACGCCGCCCTCCGCCCCACCCCCGACACCTGCCCTCACACACCCCAACACGCCGCCCTCCGCCCCACCCCCGACACCTGCCCTCACACACCCCAACACGCCGCCCTCCGCCCCACCCCCGACACCTGCCCTCACACACCCCAACACGCCGCCCTCCGCCCCACCCCCGACACCTGCCCTCACACACCCCAACACGCCGCCCTCCGCCCCACCCCCGACACCTGCCCTCACACACCCCAACACGCCGCCCTCCGCCCCACCCCCGACACCTGCCCTCACACACCCCAACACGCCGCCCTCCGCCCCACCCCCGACACCTGCCCTCACACACCCCAACACGCCGCCCTCCGCCCCACCCCCGACACCTGCCCTCACACACCCCAACACGCCGCCCTCCGCCCCACCCCCGACACCTGCCCTCACACACCCCAACACGCCGCCCTCCGCCCCACCCCCGACACCTGCCCTCACACACCCCAACACGCCGCCCTCCGCCCCACCCCCGACACCTGCCCTCACACACCCCAACACGCCGCCCTCCGCCCCACCCCCGACACCTGCCCTCACACACCCCAACACGCCGCCCTCCGCCCCACCCCCGACACCTGCCCTCACACACCCCAACACGCCGCCCTCCGCCCCACCCCCGACACCTGCCCTCACACACCCCAACACGCCGCCCTCCGCCCCACCCCCGACACCTGCCCTCACACACCCCAACACGCCGCCCTCCGCCCCACCCCCGACACCTGCCCTCACACACCCCAACACGCCGCCCTCCGCCCCACCCCCGACACCTGCCCTCACACACCCCAACACGCCGCCCTCCGCCCCACCCCCGACACCTGCCCTCACACACCCCAACACGCCGCCCTCCGCCCCACCCCCGACACCTGCCCTCACACACCCCAACACGCCGCCCTCCGCCCCACCCCCGACACCTGCCCTCACACACCCCAACACGCCGCCCTCCGCCCCACCCCCGACACCTGCCCTCACACACCCCAACACGCCGCCCTCCGCCCCACCCCCGACACCTGCCCTCACACACCCCAACACGCCGCCCTCCGCCCCACCCCCGACACCTGCCCTCACACACCCCAACACGCCGCCCTCCGCCCCACCCCCGACACCTGCCCTCACACACCCCAACACGCCGCCCTCCGCCCCACCCCCGACACCTGCCCTCACACACCCCAACACGCCGCCCTCCGCCCCACCCCCGACACCTGCCCTCACACACCCCAACACGCCGCCCTCCGCCCCACCCCCGACACCTGCCCTCACACACCCCAACACGCCGCCCTCCGCCCCACCCCCGACACCTGCCCTCACACACCCCAACACGCCGCCCTCCGCCCCACCCCCGACACCTGCCCTCACACACCCCAACACGCCGCCCTCCGCCCCACCCCCGACACCTGCCCTCACACACCCCAACACGCCGCCCTCCGCCCCACCCCCGACACCTGCCCTCACACACCCCAACACGCCGCCCTCCGCCCCACCCCCGACACCTGCCCTCACACACCCCAACACGCCGCCCTCCGCCCCACCCCCGACACCTGCCCTCACACACCCCAACACGCCGCCCTCCGCCCCACCCCCGACACCTGCCCTCACACACCCCAACACGCCGCCCTCCGCCCCACCCCCGACACCTGCCCTCACACACCCCAACACGCCGCCCTCCGCCCCACCCCCGACACCTGCCCTCACACACCCCAACACGCCGCCCTCCGCCCCACCCCCGACACCTGCCCTCACACACCCCAACACGCCGCCCTCCGCCCCAACCCCAACACCTGCCGTCACAAAGGAAATGACGTGACCCAATGCTGATTTTACCCGTCTAGCTCCACTGACTTCCTCCTGATGGACCCAACCAACTGTAAGGTCTGAATCCATCCTGTTCTGTTTGGTTATAGATTAACTAGCTGGAGTTACCCGACGTTGCTCGGTCCCGCTCCCTGTCGGCCGATTCGCTTCCCCTCCCACCCCGCCAGCCCTGCTTCCTGCCAGCC